TCTCTCTCTCTCTCTCTCTCTCTCTCTCTCTCTCTCTCTCTCTCTCTCTCTTGCCTCTTCCTTGTTGACAGTTCTCTCAGAAGTCAAAACACTCTAAAACATTGTATTTGTCTTTTTCCCCTCACCCCTCCCTCCAACTTCTTTTTCTTTCAATTGCCTCATTTCCTATATGTGAGGCGTGCTGACAAAATGAGTTACTTCTCGCAGTCCACAAATGGAGATATTGACCAAAATTTGACACTATAGGGTCAAATTTGTAAATTTTCTATTGATGCCATATTCTTTAAGTATAACACTCCTTTTATTTCATACCTATAAATTGTAAAAACTTCACCTATAAGTGTGATGTATCTATTTCTTTAAGGCCTGAATCCGAGAAGTAACTCATTTTGTCAGCACGCTTCACATATACCTGGACATGTGACATTTTTCTTTTCGGAATGGTTGTGTCTTGTGGCAATGTAAGCTCTCATACTGTAATTCTTCTGGTAAAATAAAGTCTTTTAGTGTGTGTATCTTGAAGAAGAGCTATGCCTGTAACAAAGCATATAAATTTCTTGGGCCGATTTGTTCAAGACACAAACACAAACTACAGCGAAATTGTCCAGGACAGACAACTCAATGTCAAGGAGAAAAGTGGTTGTCTTAGACAGGTGGATGTCTAGGACAGTGTCAATGCGATATAGAAAAAAATTAAAAGGAGGAAGTGGGAAGTGGTTGTTTGTACGGGTGATTGTCTTAGACAGGTGGCCAGAAAAGCAGGTTTGACTGTAACTGAGATTTACGGCATGAGCATACATGCTGAATGAAATCTGGGTCACCTACCTGTTTACAGTTGGCACAACGTTTGAGCATTGGACAACTTTTCCAGTAGTGAATGTCCAGACCTTCCTCCGTGAAGCTTTCGTTCCTCTCGTTGCAGAAGATACAAATGCTGGAGAAGAGAGGATGTAAATTAATTCACAGCGCAAAGTTTGTAAACCTTGTCTTAAATCTAAAAGACAAAATACAAGTAGAACTTCTGTAGAAAACAGATAAAAACCTATCCAAACAAAATTACGTCAAAATATCAAAACCAAAACTCAACTCACTTATCAACTGTGAAATTGGAAACTTCGTCATCGTCCTTGGCCTTTTTCCCTTTACCCTTGACCTCTGGCTTTTTCTGCTGTTGAGCAAAAAAATAAAGCAACATCAATAAGGACTTCTTGTGTAGATAGGGAAAAACCTTGTCGATTACTCAGGACATAAAAAGAACCAATGTATGTGAATTGGGTTATCAAAGAGACAGGACCTCTGAACTTAACCTCTATCTCTGATGGAACTGAACCAGATGGGTTGAGAACATTGAAAAAAACCACACAAAAAACCCAAGTCCAGAATGATACCAACAAAACTAACAGAGCCCCCCCATTGAAGAAAAGTTTATCATTAATTCAAAGAAAGACATAATATAGGTTGCATATCTGAGAAAAGTATATTCAAGAAAATTTTTGCTATTTCTCTTTCCATTTTTTCTCCCAAAACTTACTGAATTCATTTCAAATTTACTTTTATATTTCATTTTCTTTTTTTTTTCGCCTCATACCAAAAAGAAAAATAATTCAGTTTAATTCATTTTCGGCCTGTCACTTAGACAAAAAGTCCTCAATTCACTGAGACAGGAAGACACTACACTCTTGGCTATGGTGCAACAGTCCTGGGTTCAAATCCCAGAATTGCAGACTTTGTTAGGCCACCCACATCGTCCCAATAATGTTAACTCCCGGGTCTCTTCCTTTGCTGTGAAAAATTTGCAGAGATGGGCGGTACATACAGACCACAGAACAACAGATTTTTTTAATAAAGGCCACCCATTGTCAAGGAGAAAACTGATTGTCTTAGACAGGTGGATATCTTGGACAGTGTCATTATAATATAGATAAAAATGTCAAATGTGAAGTGGTTGTTTGTTCAGGTGACTGTCTTGGACAGATGGCCATTAGAAAAAGTTCGAATGTCTATATACAACATAAAGTAACACATAGCAAACTAAGAAGAGAGGAATCATGTTCCACAAACGTCCATCATCGTTACCTTTGCCGGAGCTTTTTTCGGTTCACTCTTGACCACTGCAGGGTCAACAGGCTGTAAGTTCAAGGGTCACGGTGCGTAGACAGAGGAAAGCGTGGGAGGGCAAAACTGTGCCATTAGTATGTTAGCCAGCAGGGATTTCAAAATCAAAATATCAAATAGGAAGTACTTATTTCTAAAAAAGGGATTACAGTCATAACAAGCATATTACTTTTCCCGCTTTGCATTTCTTAAATAAGTAAGCGAAAAAAAGGTTTAAAAATTTGGCTACAATAGAAAATGCTGAACTACTTTGTATTTACTCTAAGACGAGAGACAATTTATTCTAAAAATGTCTAAAGCAGGAGGTAGTTTTTGATCATGGGGGAGCAGGAAATAAATTTATTAGTCACTTTACTTTCGGAAAAAATTTGAACTTTAAAGGAACAGTACATACACAAAAAGCAACAAAAAACAACAAAAACAGGACATAAAATGAGTTAAAATAGACTGATCTGTATCAAAAGGTGTGTGTATTCCACATCAATTGAGAGGTGAAACAGTTATTGGTGGAGAATCATCATGTGATGAACACACAAATATGCAGGGTGTCCAATTTTTTGGGGTGTTTGTGTGTGTGGGGGGGGGGGGGAGCATAAAGTAACACTTCTACACAATATAAGTTCTTCACTGCAGGGAAAAAGCAAGGAAGAAAGACAGAAACAATAGAGGAAAAGAAAAGACCACAGAGACATACTTTGTAAGTCTTAGAGCAGAGATTGAGAGACATGACAAAAGAGAAATTGTGTTTGTTTAAACGTCCACCCCCAAAAGGCCTGTGCCAAATGAGTAAAGAGCCTTAAAAACTCCCCAAAACAACCAAAGCTCAGAATGCCTTCTCCTCGAAAGAGAAGAAGAAAATGTTTACCATTTACAGTTGTTGGATAATTAAGTTGTTGCCATCTGTTTCATTCACTTCTGAAAATAACAGGAGCAAGGGGGAAAAAAAAAGATTTCTTTATCAGAATAAGAATTCTTTTGCTTCTTTTTTAGGTGCTGCCGTATCTCAAACATACAGCTGCAAGGCTCACCACCCATTTCGCTGCTAATATGCTCTAAGAAAAAAAACGATATTATTCATGTCTACATATTCTAAAAAGCAAGTATCATAAGTATTATTAGGACGGTTGTTCCTAAAAACAAGCAATCGAAATCTAGACTACAACTACGAGGCAAATGACAAAAGCAAGGTCAGTCCATTTTCTACCACTCTGTGTGAGGAGAGAGAGAGAAGGAAAAGGTCAATAGCTTTTCTATCAGCTTGTCTGAAGAGAAAGAGAAGAGGGAAAAAATCTTTTAAATGCATGTGTTTTACACCCTCTTGTTGACACAGGAAACATCTCCGCAGAAAGACCAAGATAATCAAAATAAACTCTTCTTATAAAGGAATCAAACTCGAGTCTGCTGCATTTGACGGTGAAATGCCTGACCACTAGATCACAGACACAGATGTGAGGAAAAAAAGGGAAAAGTGCTGTCAAAACTCACAGCTTTGCCGGCGTTCATGTCTCGGAGTTGCTGCAGCTGTTTCTGTAAGGCGTCAATCTCGGCCTGTTTCTTCGTCTCTTCCTCTGCCTTTTGTTTCTAAGAGAAAGGAAGAGAGAAAAATTTGTTTGAGTAAAGAGAACAAAATAAGCAGCCATTTAGTGCTGGGAAAGAGTCAAGTCAAACAGACAAACAGACAGAGTTAACAGAGGGTGAGGGAAGAAGTAGGACCTATCCATGGTGTCCTTCAACCACCCGCGGAGGAGGAGGAGGAGGAGGAGGAGGA